TCTCTCTCTCTCTCTCTCTCTCTCTCTCTCTCTCTCTCTCTCTCTCTCTCTCTCTCTCTCTCTCTCTCTCTCTCTCTCTCTCTCTCTCTCTCTCTCTCTCTCTCTCTCTCTCTCTCTCTCTCTCTCTCTCTCTCTCTCTCTCTCTGTCTCTCTCTCTCTCTCTCTGTCTCTCTCTCTCTCTCTCTGTCACGTACACGCATACACACATATTTACATATTTGCATAACCACACACACACATACACACAAACAAGCACGCATGCACATGCACACATGCGCCCATGCACACCCACCGCGCACACACATACACACATACGCGCATACACACACACACACACATACGCACACATACGCACACATACGCACACATACGCACACACGCGCGACACGCACACACACACACACAAACACAAAAACAATCACAAACACACAAGCGCACAAGCGCACAAACACACAACCACACAACCACGCAAACACACAAACACACAACCACACAAACACACAAACACACAATCACACAAACACACAAACACACAAGCACACAAGCACACAAACACACACACACACACAAACACACAAACACACAAACACACAAACACACAAGCACACAAACACGCAAACACACAAACACGCAAACACGCAACACGCAAACACACAAACACGCAAACACGCAAACAGACAAACACACAAACACGCAAACACGCAAACAGACAAACAGACACAGACAAACAGACAAACAGACAAACAGACAAACAGACAAACAGACAAACAGACAAACAGACAAACAGACAAACAGACAAACAGACAAACGCACAAACCGACAAGCAGACAAACGCACAAACGCACAAACGCACAAACGCACAAACGCAGAAGAGCGCGCAGAAGCACGCAGAAGCGCGCGCACAAGCGCGCAGAAGCGCGCACACAAGCGCGCAGAAGCGCGCGCACAAGCGCACACAAGCGCAAGCGCAAGCGCACGCACAAGCACAAGCGCAAGCCCAAGCGCAAGCACAAGCACAAGCACAAGCACAAGCACAAGCACAAGCACAAGCACAAGCACAAGCACAAGCACAAGCACAAAAAGCACAAGCACAAGCACAAACACAAGCTCAAACACAAACACAAGCACAGTCACAAGCGCAAACACAAACATCCGCGCAACCACAAACACAAACGCAAACACAAGCACCAAAACAAACAGAACCACAAACACAAGCACAACACAAACACACGCACACAAACACAAACACACGCACAAAAACACAAGCACACGCACACAAACACAAACACACGCACACACCCAACACACACACACACACCCACACACCCACACACACACACACCCACACACACACACACACCCACACACCCACACACCCACACACCCACACACCCACACACACACACACACCCACACACCCACACACCCACACACCCACACACCCACGCACCCACACACCCACACACCCACACACCCACACACCCACGCGCCCACACACTTACACACCCACACACTTACACACCTACACCCGCACGCACGCAGGCATGCACGCGGGCACGCACGCACACATACACATGTAATACATACACATGCGTGCATGCACACATACGCACACACACACACCTCTCATACCCTCTGATACCCTCTCGCATCTACACCTTTCACACGGTTGCGCTTCCTCAGTACTCACACGTACTCACACACACACACACACACACACGCACTTACTCACAAACTTACTCTTCCACACTGACTGTATTACTCGCGCCGACTCACACTTACTCACACACTTGATCATGCTCACTAACTCTCTCTCACTCTCTCGCCTACGAACTGCGCACAAACGCAGAAGCACAAAGCGCCAGGCGTGTGGACTTTGTGCGGTGTGTCAGGTGAATAGCGTCTACGCCGCCCAGTGCGGGTTGCCGGCGGACTTCTTGGGCAGCATCGACACGCCCTCGGGGTCCGAGAAGGCGGTGGTGAGCGGCCTGGTGGCGATGTACACCTTTCTGGGCTCGCTTCTGGCGATGGCCGGGACCCTGGTCTGCCTGGACCACTGGAAAACACGGATGGTAGACGCGCAATGAGCCGGCTGGTTGGGAGCCCTTGCTTCTGTCGGGCAGATATTCGAAACACAGAACAGAAGGGTCTTCGCATGCTTTAGCGTTGGCACAGGAGCAGCCCTTTCCCCTTCTTTCCGCAGTTTTTCGTCCGTGATCACCGGCTAAGGCGATCACGATCATCACCAGCTCAGCGCCTGTCCAGACCCAGTACTTGATATACACGGCCGCCATGATAGTAGCTTGCTGCGTGGTCTGCTCCTGTGCAACGGAAGCTCATCCAGGTGACTGACGGTTTTTGTGTCTGGTGGTTTTCACACTTGGCCAAACTGTTTGAGTCATGGTGGCAAGGCCCCTTGCACAAGTGAGGAAACCTCATCTTTGCAAAGCGCTTCCACGCCTCTTACGTTTTCCGACCTCAGAAAAAGCTTCGTGATCGACGTGAGAAAAGACTCTGATTTCTTCTGGGTGTGCGCCGGGCGGCTGTGCTACTACATGTCTACCTCCATTGCGACCTTTATGTATTACTACTTCCGGGACATGATGCATGTTGAGGACGAAGCTAGACGGAAGAAGGTCATAGGAGTGCTCGCCATCATCATGCAGTGTGTGGGCATGCTTACGAGCGTGCCGCTGGGTAGGCTTTCCAACCGGCTAGGCCGAAAACCGATGATTTACATCTCTTGCCTTTTCATGGTCTGCACTTTCATACTGCACCTTGGCACTTGCTTGAAGGTAGGTTGGGCAAAAGGAAAAAGTGGGCTGCGGGCCAAGTGCCCCGACTCGGAGGCTTGAGGCAAGGCAACTTCTCAGCTGGCAATTCACCTGCCGAGTGGCGTGCGGGCCGCTCTTGGTGGGAGTGGGAAGTGCCATGGTTGCTTCGAACCGGCAAAGGGTCACACGCGCATACGCATACATACAAATACAGAATACGTATCTTGCCAACAGGCAAACAGCTACGTCTGGTGTCTTCAAGTTTGAGACGCCCACTTTTTAAGGGTGGCAAGCATGACAGCCAATTTGGGTGGTTCCCTTGGCCAAAGGTACGTGCTGGCGCCCCTTGTGCCGAGTTTGTCCTGGACGGCGGTGGTGGCGGCCGCAGTGCTCTACGGCGTGGGCAGTGGAGCGTACCTCAGCGTGGACTATGCGCTGGCGCTGGACTGCCTGCCTGAGGTGGGAATCTTGGGTCATGGCAATTGGACGGGTCATCGGGGCATCTCAGGTTCCGATCGCCGAAAGGGACAATCACATGAGCCTGCGAAAGGGACCCAATTACTTGCTAGAACGAGCTTAGCATCACCTAGTTTCCGACCAGAAATTCCAAGGATTGCTTTTGGGTAATCACTCCTGGTCCAACTAACACGGAAGTGGACGGAAGACCATCGTCCGTAGAAAGGCCTCTTGTCCACTTTGCGTGATTGTTGAAAAGAGGGTTGGCTGAGCAGTTCTTTGGATTCTTGGCTTCATTTGAACGACCGTGACAAATTTAAGAGGGATTTGGGTGAGGGGTGGCATCCTGGGCCAAAGACGCGGTGCCAGGGGGCTCTCACGTGCTGTCTGAAAGTGATCTGGTCACTCCAAGGGATTACTCTACGTGGCAATCTCCAAGCTCGCCTGTTGCGGGGACTTGTCCTCGGTGAGTCATGGCATCATAGGTTCGGGGGCCGACCAGTGGGTCCATGCCCATCGTGGCGGGTGCCACGTGTCATGCCGGGCTGCCACGGCTCTTCTACACGACTCATCGATTGGGAAACCAGTTCTTGATAAGCTTCATTTGATGATTATTTGATAGCACATCTAATTAGAATAAATCGTTTTGGAGCCATACGACTGCCCATCCCAACGAAGACATCGTGGACCACTTTTCTTAGTGGCTTTAAAGGGAAGTCAAGAGCCCGGGGACATTTTGCATTCACAGAGGTGCTTGGAGCATTTCCCCCATCTACAAGTCCTCAAGATGTTCTTGCAACGATGATGATGATGATGATGATGATGATGATGATGATGATGATGATGATGATGATGATGATGATGATGATTGTTTATGTGGAGCAGGTTGACAAAGACCTAGAACCACAGGTTCCCGCATCTGCTTCCCGGCAGAATGCCGGGCAGTTAGGCCTTCTGTGCTGCCTAACTTTCTCTCTCTCATTTCAAACAGGTTGTAAGGCGGCTCCTGCTTCTGTCAGAGCCCATTCACAAGCTTCGCAAAATAGTGGCAGCAAAGGGGCCATCATTTTTCGAGACCCCCGCCCCTACTTATTATTGTTTGGGATTTCTGCCCCCTTTTGAGCGGGCATCTGAGAATCCAGAGCGAGGGAGCCTCGCAATGGCCAGGGCAAGAGCTCGGCGGAGGCGCTGGGGCTGTGGGGCGTGGTGGGCTTCTTTGGCTCCACCCTGGGCCCCATCCTCGGGGGCTACCTGCTCTCCCTGGCAGGTGAGAGCGGTTACCGTGGCCCTATTTGGGGCTGGGGGGTTTGGCAGTTGGAGAGTTTGTTTGACAGGAAGGCCCAAAAGCTAGGCCTGCAGCTAGGCCTGCAGAGCTTGAGGGCTAGACGGCAGATCGGAAGTCACCGGCCAAACAGCTCTCTGGACCGCCTGGTTAGAATACCAACAGGCTCAAGTTTGGAAAAGCCATGAATAGGGCAAGCTTCTGGGGCCCGCACAACCCAATAATGTTTTTTGGAAGGGTTCTTGTTCAACCGCTCTGGGTGGGGCCCTCCTTAGCCCTACAACGCTTTGCTTCCAGGAGATGAGCAGGGAGTGTATCCCTTCCTGGGCTATGCCTTGGTGATGCTGGTCCTGGGCTGCGGTATGACCCTCATGGTGATGCTGCTGACGCGGAACATCCGGAGCGTAAGGTGAAGGGTTTCACCGATTTGCTCACCTCACCTTGCAGTGAGGTGAAGCTACGGAGTGGCGAAAGCACTCCCAATTTTTTGTTCTGCAAGGATTCAGGGAGAGCCGCAGTTGCAACTGCAAGGCTCGGCTTGGCACAAAAGGCCATGGAATTTCTAGACACTTTTTCGGCCAATGGGCTGTTGCACGGTGCGTAAAACCTACAGGCGCCACGATCGAGGCAAGTAAAGCAAATGTGGTCAGCTCGCAGAGGCAAGTCAGGTGGGTGCTAAAAACAGATGCCCAGACCTGTGAGCTCCCCCGAAAAATGGAGAACGCAAAAGGGGATGGACACATTTTCGATCACCCCCCTCCCCCCTCCAAAGAAATAATGGTCATCAACAACTCAACCTGGCATAGCACTCTGAGAAAGTGCCGGGCGCGTTGGCACTTCGATTGAAGAATGAGGCAAGGCCACAAGCCCTGCCCGGAGTGCGGAGGTCGTGGTGGCCCCAGTGCAATCTGTGGATTCCACGTGTTTCCGTATTTTCTGTTTGGTTGGTTGCCTTTAAACCGTACCAAACATGTGGCCGAGTCGAGCTCAGGGGTCGGCCTTCTTGAAATACGAGAACCTGGTGGATGCATGGGGGTTTCCAAGTGAAGGATTCCCGTGGCTGTTCTCCCCACAAATTCCAGTTTAGTTCTCCCATTTGGCTCAGAAGTGATCGAATTATTTCGGCTCAGGTGCCGTCTGCGAGTCTGGCTCCACGGCAAACTTCAAGTGCCTCGGCCGAGTTTCGGCCCCTCCGGGCCGGAGCTAGACTGTGGCTCGGGTGCTTGTGGTGCAGTAACAGGTCGGTTTCCCCTTCCTTCTTGGGGGTAAACCGGAAACAACCCAAGCTTAAACCCCAAAAGACGTCCTCAAATCCCAAGCCCTACACCCAAGATCAGCCCCGAAATTCACAACATGGAGTGCCAAAATCTACGATTCCCGGGTTTCTACTGCTAGCTTGCATGGGGCAAACAAAAACGGCCGCTGAGGATCTCCAAGGCCTTTACGCCAGGAGCTTGGATGACTTGGATGGATCAGAACCTGCCTGGAAGGGAGCCAAGGAGGGAGACCCAAATGTCCATGCCGACTTTCTTTTCTACTTTAGATTGGGGATTTAAGGGAGACGAAGATTGTTCTCAGCGCCTTTTCTGGGGTGTGTGGGATGAGGTGTCCTTTGAAATGGCAGCCCCCTTCACGGTCCTTATCATTCAAGCGCTGCACGAATCCAACATGAAAGACCCAAGCACCTGTATTAAATTGGCTTGTGGGAACAAAAGCTTAGCGAGAATTCCTGCCGCTGGCTCATGAACTTAAGGATGTCTGGGTCTCAGCCGGCGCACCACTCTGATCTCTGAGGCATTTTCGGTGTACGGAGGCCCACTGTGGCAAGGAGACCCGCCCCCAGATCTGGCGAGGGCAGCTGGGGTTTGGGGAGCCTCGCTTGGGAAGGTTCTTCGAAGTTCCGGGAATGCCTCTTGGGCGATGGGGATACTCCTTGGGCTGGCAGGGTGGTTGGCATGCAGCCCGAGAGTCGGAATCCGAAACAGCACATCTTTTTCTCAAAGCCTGGAAAGACGCTGTGTGTTTGTCCCCAAATCCCAAGGTCTCTGTGTGAAACAGGTGAATGCCGGGTGTTTTGTGTCTCTGTGCGCGCGTTGCTTTCTTTGGGTGATTGCGGAAAAGGACTGGGGTAGACCAGGCTTTCGGTTCCATGCTGGCTAAGGACCCGCTGGACGGAATGAGTGCCTGACTGGGCTGGTGCAAAGGCCAACGCCAGCCGTCAAAACAACCGCCCGTGCGATGCGAAAGCCAGATGTGCCAGACGTGCCACATGCTGATTGATGGAATCCTCCCCGGAGCTTGCGCACGGCCATGCTACGATTCGCTTCGACTGGCCACAAGTCGAGCTTGTGCCGCAGCGTTTCTGTAGTTTGTAGGCAGCTTCACTTCACGTTTCCCAGGCCGCAAGGCACCAATTTAAAGCCCGACGCGAGTCACGAGTCGATTCAACCACCTGATAGAGAGCACTGTGTCTTTCACGCCGCGCAATTTTGAAGCCATGGCAAGCCGGGCACCCCGAGTTTTCAACGGTGGGGGGGCGGGGGGGGGGGGGTAGTCAAAAAATACGGGGACCACCCAAGATATCGTTCCTTTTTTTTTTGGCAGGGGGTGGGGGGGGGGAAGGGGGAGCAACAAACAGAGGTTAGCCTCCAAGGTCCAATCAACCTTTTCCAAAGACGTGGCAAGGGATTTGGAGGGTGGGTCTTTACACTGGTTTCAATTTAGTGCCTGCTCCTTCGCGAAGCTCCTTCCAGGCGGCGGCCTGGGTAAATGCTGGATGGCTTATTCCAACCCATTCTGGCAAAATGTCTCTAAGGAATTGCCACCAGTTTCATCCACAGCCAGCCACAAAGGGGATCTCTGCTGGATAGCCTGGAAGCCCCACGGCGGAGTCTCCTTCCCATCGAGGTCGGGATGGCGCCTTCGCGGGGGCGTGGCAGGATGATGAGGGAACTGCGGGGGTGCCAAGCTGTTCCGAAGGCGAACAAAAAACGGGTCGTCCAAAAACAAACGGGGGGGGGGGGGGGGGTTGGCAGCCGTGACGGATGCCTATGTTTTAGGCGGGGATTATTTCCCGCCTCGATCGGCACAAGACACATGCAAAGAAAAGGACCGCCGGAAGAATTTGTTCACCCCTTGGCACAGGCATTTGTTTTTCGCTTTCTCGCCGAGGTGGTGGTCGTCAAGGCGAGGGGTAGAGCGGACAGGGCCTTTCAGTCCAAGATGTGAACCAGCGACCCCTGGTTGATCAGAAATTTTGGCTTTGCCAGGGGGGGGGGGGGGACCACGGGGGGAGCGTGGAGGGGTGGGGGCCGGGTCGCCCCAGCCAAGCAAAGCCGGCATCGTGAAATTCCAAGCCTGAGAGATGTCCCTACCAGACAAATGATCTTGACACGTCCGTCAACAAATCCAGGGCCCATTAAAATCACTACGCAGGGGTCCTGGGGGGACTCACTAAGTTCTGGCCCAAACCAGGAAGTCCCTCATATTCCCACTCCTTCCACCAAAGCCGGCCACCGGTACCCCACCGACATCCCACCAGGACTCCCGGATGTACGGCCCGGACGGCGGCCAGCGAGAACCTCACCAGTTTGCATTTCGTACAGGTTCGCAGGTGAGGGAATGACCCCCCTATAAACCATCGAGGGACGCCGAGGGTCATTCCCAAACCCCAAGGGCCAATATGTACTGTCGCCTACTGCAAAAGGGATAGCATGAGCCGAGCCACTCGCCGTGAGGAATTGGGCACCGAAAGCCAATGTCATGGGGGGCATATATTGGATTGACCGTGACTCGAATTGAATTGCGTTTGATTTGACCCAAGAATTAAGCTAGAAGCAGTCGCCACTAGTCACCTCCTCGTGCAGCGCTGTTGGAAAGTTCGTCGCAGTTGGAGAGACTGTGGGTTGGGATGGATGAAACCCGATGCATACTGGGACAACCGCCAATCCCAACTGTTGCAAAGTGTCACTTCGAAAGGAGGGTGTTCGAGCTCACGGGAATTCCCCCCCCCCCCCGCCCGAGGGCTTTGGTTTTCCAAAGTTCACACCAAAACTTGCTTGGGCTTCATTTTTCGATTGCCCAAGGTAGATTTAAACCCAACGTTGTTTTTTTTGGGGGGGGGGGGAAATCGACCGACCTGGAGTTTCCTTCTATCTTTGGGCAACCAAACGTAGACCCCGTTGGCGGCACGTGCCCGCGTAAGAGCCCCCCTCGCCCCCTGTGCTTGAGGCTGGATCTGAAGATAAGTGGGAGAAGCAAATGTTCCTTCCAAATGGGTGCTGGCCTGAGGGATGCTTGACTTGTTCGTAAGGAGAGGGTGAGGTGAAGACAGCTCGCTTTGCACAGGCACCGAGATCTACGAAGGCACCCTGAGTGCCGACGGGAAGTTGGTCTGGAATGATGGCGCAGTGTGGGTTCGGGTCTTCCGCTCAGCTTGCCTTGACTAATGAGTGGCAGTCTGCAACGTGTTCTGCAAATCCGGAGTGTAAGGTTGAAGGCGATCATGCCAAGCCTTGCACTGCTGAAGAACACATGGCAATGTCAGCAAAGCCGCAATCGAATGGCCGTGCGATTCCGAACGGAACCAACGGACAGTCGCATGGCATCGACCAAGCCAGAAAAGCCTTTGAGGAGGAGAAGGCTCGCAAGGCTGCAGCGCTGGACAGGGCAAGGGCCGCAAGAGCAGCAGCAGCAGCACCAGCGGAGGAGCCGGCACCGGCACCTCAGGCCAAGGACGCAAACGAAGCTGGCATTGACCGAGCTAAAAAAGCCTTTGAGGAGGAGAAGGCTCGCAAGGCTGCAGCGCTGGACAGGGCAAGGGCCGCAAGAGCAGCAGCAGCAGCAGCACCAGCAGAGGAGCCGGCGCCGGCACCTCAGGCCAAGGACGCAAACGAAGCGGGCATTGACCGAGCAAAAAAAACTTTTGAGGAGGAGAAGGCCCGCAAGGCTGCAGCGCTGGAGAGGGCAAGGGCCGCACGAGCAGCAGCAGCAGCACCAGCAGAGGAGACGGCGCCGGCACCTGAGGCCAAGGACGCAAACGAAGCGGGCATTGACCGAGCCAGGAAAGCCTTTGAGGAGGAGAAGGCTCGCAAGGCTGCAGCGCTGGACAGGGCAAGGGCCGCCAGAGCAGCAGCAGCGGCACCAGCAGAGGAGCCGGCGCCGGCACCTCAGGCCAAAGACGCAAACGAAGCGGGCATTGACCGAGCCAGGAAAGCCTTTGAGGAGGAGAAGGCTCGCAAGGCTGCAGCGCTGGACAGGGCAAGGGCCGCACGAGCAGCAGCAGCGGCACCAGCAGAGGAGCCGGCGCCGGCACCTCAGGCCAAGGACGCAAACGAAGCGGGCATTGACAGAGCAAGAAAAGCCTTTGAGGAGGAGAAGGCTCGCAAGGCTGCAGCGCTGGACAGGGCAAGGGCCGCAAGAGCAGCAGCAGCAGCACCAGCGGAGGAGCCGGCACCGGCACCTCAGGCCAAGGACGCAAACGAAGCGGGCATTGACCGAGCTAAAAAAGCCTTTGAGGAGGAGAAGGCTCGCAAGGCTGCAGCGCTGGAGAGGGCAAGGGCCGCACGAGCAGCAGCAGCGGCACCAGCAGAGGAGCCGGCGCCGGCACCTCAGGCCAGGGACGCAAACGAAGCGGGCATTGACCGAGCAAGAAAAGCCTTTGAGGAGGAGAAGGCCCGCAAGGCTGCAGCGCTGGAGAGGGCAAGGGCTGCAAGGGCAGCAGCTGCAGGAGCAGCAGAGGAGACTGCGCCGGAACCTGAGGCCAAGGACGCAAACGAAGCGGGCATTGACCGAGCCAGGAAAGCCTTTGAGGAGGAGAAGGCTCGCAAGGCTGCAGCGCTGGACAGGGCAAGGGCCGCACGAGCAGCAGCAGCGGCACCAGCAGAGGAGCCGGCGCCGGCACCTCAGGCCAAGGACGCAAACGAAGCGGGCATTGACCGAGCTAAAAAAGCCTTTGAGGAGGAGAAGGCTCGCAAGGCTGCAGCGCTGGAGAGGGCAAGGGCTGCACGGGCAGCAGCTTCAGGAGCAGAGGCGACTGGCAAGGCACCTCAGGCAAGGGAGTCGAGCGAGGCGGGACCTGATCGGGCAAAGCAAGCGTTTGAGGAGGAGAAGGCTCGAAAGGCTGCAGCATTGGAAAGAGCCAGGGCTGCAAGAGCAGCAGCAGCAGCCACAGCAGAAGAGCCAACATCTGCGCCAGCCCCTTCAGGGCTGGATCAGGCCAGAAAGGCTTTTGAGGAGGAAAAGGCTCGCAAGGCTGCCGCTCTCGAGAGGGCAAGGGCCGCCCGATTGGCCGTTGAGGGAAAGGACGGGCAGGGCGAGTCCGTGGATCGAGCGCGAAAAGCTTTTGAGGAAGAGAAGGCCAGAAAGCAGGCAGCACTGGAACGAGCGAGGGCTGCAAGGGCGGAAGCTCCCGATGGTGCGGATGAGGAGAAGGCTCGGAAGGCGGCGGCGCTGGAGCGTGCCCGGGCGGCCAGTGGGGTGGACAGGGCCCGCAAGGCCTTTGAGGAGGAGAAAGCCAAGAAGGCGGCGGCGCTGGACAGGGCGCGGCGGGCGGCTGAGGGCTCAGCTGGCGCAGGCCGGTGGCGATCGGGAGGCGATTGGGATGGGTAATGCTTGCCTGGCAGGGGCAGCAGGCGGCGACGCAAAGATGGACCGTGCCAAGCAAGCCTTTGAGCAGGTGGGCGATCGATCGTCGTGCCCACTTTCCATGGAACCCAGTCGAACAAACGGGTCCATGTTGAGCAACGCCCATCAGCAACTCGGTGGAAGCAGTTTCAAGTGATGCGGTTTGACAACCTTTGAGTCCCCCTAATCAGGTAGCCCTGAATTGGTGGTTGGGTTAATTGGTTGTTTGGGGATTTGAACCCGTCCTCGTGCCCCGGAACACCTCCACCAAGAACCACAGGTGTGTCTTTCTCTCAGATTTCACACCATCCAAAAAGGGTACCCTCAAAAAAGAACACCCAATGTTCCTTTGCCACTTGCGGAGGAGAAGGCCCGGAAAGCTGCTGTCGGAGCCTGACTCTTTACTTGCCAGGTCTGGCGACTGACGTGGGTGTGTGTTTTGCTCTGGGTCAAACGGCAACCACAAGGAACACCAACCATTTTGGAGGTGCAAATCCCTATATTGACACCTCTTTGGTTTAGGCTGGCTTTGGTCACCGCTACTGTCCGGACAACGAGTCAATTCCCAAGAAAGCTAAGATGACGCCTTGACATCCATTTCGGGTTTTCTCCCAAAATTTCAATCCGACGAGTGAAATCCCTCGGAGCTTGAAGCGGATCCTAACCCAAGGCGCTGGAGCGAGCGAGAGCGCGGGCCAGGGCAGCAGGCCAGCGCTTGCAGAGAGGGATCTTCCGCCTACGGCACAGACATCCTTGGCACACCTTTTCTGTTTCATCAGCCCGATATCTTCAGAGGCCTCAGGAAGCACCTGAGGGGATCTTCTTTTTTTCTTTTTTGGGGGGGGGTTTGGAGCAAAGTTGCCGCAGAAAAAAAAGCGCTTCGCCCCGCGCGCGAGGCCAGGATCCTGCAGATGAGCTGGGCCTAGGGCCCAACGCGAGCGCCTCGAGTCCTCGACCTGGAAGCTATGCGGCTCCTGTTTGCGACTGTCAAGCTTGGGGAGGTTGCGACATTTCTGGGGCTGGCGTAGATGATCGGAGAGGAAATGAATTGCTGGTCTTCCTTTTCGGCAACGTCGTTGTTTAGTCGTTCTCCAATGGAGGGCGGGGCTTCGTTCAAGCTCCTTGTTGGGGGTCGAGCTGACTTCTTGACACGCTGTGCGTGGGATGACCGCCGCGATTAAGCTGGACCAGGGCTTGGTGGCATCCCTCTTGTGTCACATGAGTGGGGTAGAGTCGCACTGCCCCTCTTGCAGCATCCCAATCTATCATTCCATGCCTATGAGGCCCGTGCCGACTGCCATATGGCCACTCCATTCGCCCCCGGCCATCATCATCACGCCCGAAATAGGAATCGTTTGGTGGAC